CCCCCCCCCCCCAGTGCTCCCCCTCTCCCGGCACCCCCATTTCCCCCCCCCCCCCAGTGCTCCCCCTCCCCGGCACCCCCATTTCCCCCCCCCAGCGCTCCCCTCCCCCCAGTGCCCCCAGTGCCCCCTCCCCCCAGTGCCCCCCCCCCCCCCGCGGGGCGGGGCCGCCCGGTCCCATAAAGGCTCCGTGGGGCGCCCCCCGCCCAGACCCGCCCGGCGCGGCCCCGGCACCATGAGCAGCGCCGCGGAGCCGCCCAGCGCCAGGAAGGTAACGGCGGATCGGCCCGGATCGGCCCGGCTCGGCCCGGCTCGGCCCGGCCCGCTTCCCGCCCCTTCAGCCCCGTTCAGCCCAGCCTGGACCTTAACCGGTACCGACCCCTTTGGCCCGGTTCAGACCGCTCTGGGCTTGGCCCGGTTCAACCCAGTTTGGACTTTAACTGGTTCAGACCCATTCGGTCTGGTTCAGCCCAATTCAGCCCACTTCAGGCTGGTTTGGGCTTGGCCCGGTTCAGCCCGGTTTGGGCTTGGCCTGGTTTGGACCCCTTTGGCTCAGTTCAGCCCATTTTGGACATTAACTGGTTCAGACCCATTTGGTCTGCTTTATCCTGGTCTGGCTTTGGTCTAGTTCAGCCCAGTTCGGCCCGGTTCAGCCCGGTTTGGGCTTGGCCTGGTTCAGACCCCAGTGGCTGGGTTCAGCCCAGTTTGGACTTTAACTGGTTCAGACCCATTTGGTCTGGTTCGGCCTGGTCTGGCTTTGGTCCAGTTCAGCCCATTTTGGCCCAGTTCAGCCCAGTCTGGGCTTGGCCCAGTTCTGACCCCTTTGGCTCGGTTCAACCCAGTTTGGACTGTAACTGGTTTGGACCCCTTTGGCCCAGTTCAGCCCAGTCTGGGCTTGGCCCAGTTCAGCCTGGTTTGGGCTTGTCCCAGTCCATGCCCCTTTGTCCCAGTTCAGCCCAGTTTGGACTTTAACTGGTTTGGATCAGTTTGGCCCAATTTGGGCTTGGCCCAGTTTGGGTTCAGCCACATTCAGCCCAGTTTGGCCTGGCTCAGCCCAGTTGGGGTTTGGCCTAGATCAGGCTTGGTCCAGTTTGGACTTTAACTGGTTTGTCCCCATTTAGCCCAGTTTGGCCCAGTTCAGCCTGGTTTGGGGCTTGGTCCTGTTTGTCCCCACTTGGCCCAGTTTGGGCTTGGGTCTGTGCAGCCAGATTGGTCCAGTCTGGGTTTGGCCCAGCTGGGACCGATTAGCATTTGACCCGGTTCAGCCTGGATTGGTCTTGGCCAGTTTGGCCCAGTTCAGCACAATTACAACCAGTTCGGGTTTGGCCCGTTCTGGTTTTGTGTGTGCTTGGCCCAGTTCAGGCCAGTTCCCAGTAAGGACTTGGCGTGGTTTGGCCCGGTTCAGCTCAGATTGGCCCACGTTGGCTCGTATTGGCCTGGTTCGACCCAGTTTGGTCCGGCTTCGCCCACGTTGGCTCATATTGGCCCGGTTCGGCCCCGTTTGGCCCGCTCTGGCCCGGCTCAGCTGGCCCAGTGAGTTCCTGCTGACCCAGGCCTAGCCCCATATGGCCCAGTTCAGCCCAGCCCACTTTGTTTTGGACCAGTTTGGTTCAGCTCGGTTGGACCTGACCAAGTTTGGCCCAGTTCGGCCCCATCCCAACCCCGTCTGCCCCCAGCCCGGGTTGGCCTGGTTTGACCCCGACTTGACCACTGGGAGCGAGTCGCCCCCAGACCGGTTTGGCCCCAGGACCCCAACTCACCCCGGCCCACCCGGGTCTAGCCCCGTGCTCGCCTGGCCCACTTTGGGTCAGCCTTGCCCCGGTCCAGGCTCTGACTTGTCCCCCCTTGTCCCCCTCTGTCCCCCTCTGTCCCCCTCTGTCCCCCTCTGTCCCCCTTTGGCCCCTTTGGCCCCTTTGCCCCCTTTGCCCCCTTTGTCCCCCTCTGTCCCCCTTGTCCCCCTTTGTCCCCCTTTGTCCCCCCTTGTCCCCCTTTGTCCCCCTTGTCCCCCCTTGTCCCCCTTTGTCCCCCTTTGTCCCCCTTTGGCCCCCTTGTCCCCCTTTGGCCCCCTTGTCCCCCTTTGGCCCCCTTGTCCCCCTTTGTCCCCCTTTGTCCCCCTTTGTCCCCCTTTGTCCCCCTCTGTCCCCCTTGTCCCCCTTTGCCCCCTTTGGCCCCCTTGTCCCCCTTTGGCCCCGTTTGGCCCCGTTTGGCCCCTTTGGCCCGGGCTCACTCTCGCTCTGCCCCTCCCCCCGGGCAGCTCCTGAAGCCGCTCATGGAGAAGCGTCGTCGCGACCGCATGAACCGCAGCCTCGACCGGCTCCGGCTGCTGCTGCTCGCGGCCACTCGCGACGAGGTGAGGCCCCGTCGCGACTCTCGCGCCTCTAGGGTGCCCCTGTCACTGCCCTGTCGTGACTATCGCGGCTCTATCGCACCTCTATCATGCCTCTATGGTGGCTCCATCGTGACTATTGCACCTCTATCACTGCCCTGTCATGACTATCGCGGCTCTATTGTGACTATCACACCTCTATCGTGCCTCTATGGTGGCTCCATCGTGACTATTGCACCTCTATCACTGCCCTGTCGTGACTATCGCGGCTCTATCGTGACTCTCGCACCTCTATCGTGCCTCTATGGTGGCTCCATCGTGACTATTGCACCTCTATCACTGCCCTGTCGTGACTATCGCGGCTCTATCGTGACTATCACACCTCTATCATGACCCTGTTGTGACTATCATGCCTCTATTGTGGCTCCATCACGACTCTCACACCTCTATCACTGCCCTGTTGCAACTATTATGGCTCTGTCGTGACTACCACACCTCTGTTGTGGCCCTGTTGCGACTATCACGCCTCTACCACATCTTTATGGTGGTTCCGTCATGACTCTCACACCTCTATCACTGCCCTGTCGTGACTATTGCACCTCTGTCACCACTATTGCGCCTTTATCGTGGCCCTGTTTTGACTAATGTGCCTCTACCATGGCTCTGTCACGACTATCGCACTCCTATCATGACTATTGTGCCTCCATCGTGACTATCACACCTCCATCCCTGCTCTGTCGTGACTGTCGTACCTCTGTTGTGGCTCTGTCACAACTGTCAGTTCTATTGCAGCTCTGTTGCGGCGCTCTCGTGACTATCACGGCTCTTCACAGCTTTATTGCGACTGTCACAACTCCATCACAGCTGTAAAGGCTCGACTGCGACTGTCACGGCTCTGTTGTGCGCTCTGTCAGGTTCCGTCAGGGCTATCCTGTGGCGTTATCACGATTAGTGCAGCTATCGTGACAGTTCTGGCTCTGTGGTGACTTTCACAGCTCTGTCTGGGCTCTATCATGACTATCAGGGCCTTATCATGACTATCATATCCTTTGGGACTTTGTCATGACTCTGCTGCGACCTGCTCACCGTTATTTGGTCTCTGTCGTGACAATATTGTGACTGGGGGGGCTCTGTTGTGACTGTGCTGACACTCAGGGCTCCCTTGGGAGGGGGGGTTCTATCACGATTATCCATCGCAATTGTCACCTCGTTATCCTGCCCGGCGCTGTGGCTGCAGCAGCTCCATCCTGGTGCCTCCTGCCACCGGCGGGGCTGTCACGGCCCTGTCGGGATGTTATCGGGGCTGTCAGGACGTTATCAGGACACGACCGCGACACTCCCGGGGGCTGTCGGGGCACTATCGGGATACTATCAGGGTTCTGTCGTGACTCTATCAGGGTACTATCAGGGTACTATCGGGACCGCGTTTGGGCTCTATCGGGATACTATCAGGGCTCTATCGGGATACTATCAGGGCTCTATCGGGATACTATCAGGGCACTATCGGGATACTATCAGGGCACTATCGGGATACTATCAGGGCACTATTGGGATACTATCAGGGCTCTATCACGATACTATCAGGACTGCATTTGGGTTCTGTGGTGGCACTATCAGGGCTCTGTCGGGACGTTACGGGGACCCTGTCGGGGTGATATCGGGATACTCTTGGGGCGTTATTGGGGCACTGTCACGACACAACTGGGATGCTCTGGGGGCTCTCCTGGGGCTCCTTTGGGTGCTGTCAGGACTATTGGGGTGCGATATGGGGGCTCTACCAGAGCAACATGGGGCCGCCCACCGCCCCCGCCCTGCCCCCACCGTCGCGGTTCATGTGACATGTGTCCCCCCCTCCCCTCCCCCCCCCCCCCCCACCCCCTCTCTCTCTCTCTCCCCTCCCCCCCCCACCCCCCCAGCGCCTTCGAAACCCCAAGGTGGAGAAGGCCGAGATCCTCCAGAAAACGGTGCAGTTCCTGCGGGATCAGCCCCTCTCAGGTCCGTGCCTCAGTTTCCCCCCACCCTGGGACACCTCCCCCCCACCCTGGGGCACCCCCTCCCTTCACTCTGTGCCTCAGTTTCCCCCCACCCTGGGACACCCCCTCCCTTCACTCTGTGCCTCAGTTTCCCCCCACCCTGGGACACCCCCTCCCTTCACTCTGTGCCTCAGTTTCCCCCCACCCTGGGGCACCCCCTCCCTTACCTCCGTGCCTCAGTTTCCCCCCACCCTGGGACACCCCCTCCCCTAACTCTGTGCCTCAGTTTCCCCCCACCCTGGGACACCCCCTCCCTTACCTCCGTGCCTCAGTTTCCCCCCACCCTGGGACACCCCCTCCCTTAACTCCGTGCCTCAGTTTCCCCCCACCCTGGGGCACCCCCTCCCCTAACTCCGTGCCTCAGTTTCCCCCCACCCTGGGACACCCCCTCCCTTACCTCCGTGCCTCAGTTTCCCCCCACCCTGGGGCACCCCCTCCCTTCACTCTGTGCCTCAGTTTCCCCCCACCCTGGGACACCTACCCCCCACCCTGGGGCACCCCCTCCCTTAACTCTGTGCCTCAGTTTCCCCCCACCCTGAGGCACCCCGTCCCTTACCTTCGTGCCTCAGTTTCCCCCCACCCTGGTTTCCCCCCACCCTGGGGCACATCCCCCCTTACCTCCGTGCCTCAGTTTCCCCCCACCCTGGGGCACCCCCTCCCTTCACTCTGTGCCTCAGTTTCCCCCCACCCTGGGGCACCCCCTCCCTTCACTCTGTGCCTCAGTTTCCCCCCACCCTGGGACACCCCCTCCCTTCACTCTGTGCCTCAGTTTCCCCCCACCCTGGGACACCCCCTCCCTTCACTCTGTGCCTCAGTTTCCCCCCACCCTGGGGCACCCCCTCCCTTAACTCTGTGCCTCAGTTTCCCCCCACCCTGGGGCACCCCCTCAGTTTCCCCCCACCCTGGGGCACCCCCTCCCTTCACTCCGTGCCTCAGTTTCCCCCCACCCTGGGGCACATCCCCCCTTAACTCCGTGCCTCAGTTTCCCCCCACCCTGGGGCACCCCCTCCCTTAACTCCGTGCCTCAGTTTCCCCCCACCCTGGGACCCCACCGCACAGCCACCCCCAGGGGAGGGGACACGCCGTGTTGTGGGTTCCTGGGCAGCTGCTGTGGGGCTGGGGGGGAGGCGGGCAGAGGGGGTCACCATGTTTCTCTCCGGCACAGAGCCCTCGGGGATGGAGGAGCTGTTCCTGCGGCGCTACCGCAGTGGCTACCGGGAGTGCCTGGCCCGCGCCGCCCGCTTCCTGCAGGCCGTCCCAGCGACGCCCCCCTGTCCCGTCCCGGGCCCTGCGGCCGTCGGTCCCCCAACGCTCACCGCTGGCCCCGCTGACAGCGCCGGGCCCGCCGGCCGCCATGGACTGCCTGCGCCGCGGGTGGGGCCTGGCTGCCCCGGTTACCACGGTTACGGGCCCGGTTACCACCGCTTCGGGCCCACTCCAGGGCCTAGTGTGGGGCCTACTCACAGGCCTGACTGTGGCCCCGGTTATCGCCCCGGCGACGGCCCCGGTTGCCCCGGCGACGGTCCCGGTTGCCCCGGTGATGGTCCCTGTTGCCCCGGCGACAGCCCCGGTTGCCCCGGTGATGGTCCCTGTTGCCCCGGCGACAGGTCCGGGTGTCCCGGTTACCACGGTTACGGGCCTGGTCCGGGGCCTACTTTCGGGCCTACTTTCGGGCCTACTTTCGGGCCTAGTTGTGGTCCCAGCCTGGGGTCCCAGCATGGCCCCGGCAGCAGCCCCGGCGGCCACGAGGACTCTCGGCAGCGCTGCCCCAAGGAGGAGGCGCCGGGGGAGGGCGAGGGGCGGCTGGGTCCACCCTGCCATGTCTGGAGACCCTGGCCCTGAGCAGTGGGTGCTCAGCCACGGGGCAGCGGGCGGTGGGGAGAGGGGGCGGCGGTGATCCCGTACTGGGAGGGTGGGGGGAGACTGGGGGGGCTGGGAGGAAAGGGGGGACTGGTGTGCTGGGAGGAAGGCAGGATTCTTGGGCGCTCTGCGGGGAGGAGGGCCCTTAGCACCGGGAGGGCAGGAGTAAACGGGAGTGCTGGGAGGAGGGAGACTTTAACAAGTATGCTGGGAGCGTGGCGGTTTTCCCCGGTCTGCTGAGAGGAGGCTGGGTTTTTCACTGGTATATTGTGAGCGTAGGGGCTGGTGGTTTGTATACTGGGAAATTGGGTTTTTTTGAACTGGTATACTGGGAAGACGGGGGTTCTTAACTGGCGTACTGGGAGGAAGACTGCTTTTTCACTGGTATGGTGGGAGGAAGGCCCTTTTCACTGGCGTGCTGGGAGAACAGAGTTTTTTCGCTGGTATACTGGCGGGACTGAGCTTTATTACTGGTATACTGGAAGGATGTGAAAGTTTTAACTGGTATGCTGGAAAGAAGGCATGTTTTCACTGGTATACTGGGAGGACAAGGCTCTGTTACTGGGGGAGGATACAGTGATTTTGCTGGTACACTGGGAGGACAGGGGTTTTCTTTTTCACTAGCGTACTAGAAATACGTTTTTTGACAGGTATACTGGGGAACAGGTGGTTTTAACTGGTACACTGGGAAGAAGGGGACTTTTCCTTAGTGTACTGGGAGGGTGGTGGCTCTTTGCTGCTATACTGGGAGGATGGAAGTTTTTAACTGGTATGCTGGGAGGATGGGGAAGTTTACCGATACACTGGGAGGAAGGTGGGTTTTTCACTGGTATACTGGGAGGATGAGGGACTTAGCCCTGGAGCGACCCCTCTTTTACCCCAGAGGTGGTGTTAATCCAGTTTTCCCGGAGTTGGTTGACTGCCTTCAAATCTAGGGTTTCTGCCCCAAAAAACAGCCCCAGGTCCTGGAGACTGAGGAGGAGGGGGACCCTTCCTCCATCCTCCCTTGAGGGAGGATCCGAGTCCTGGCCAGAAATTGGGAGGACTGGGAATGGCTCTGGGTGGCATTGTATGGGGAGCTTGAGGCTGGTTTGGGGGTGAAAAGGTGATGTTTTTGGGGTCTGTTAACACTTTCTTCCCAGTACAGGTGGAGCCTTGGGATCCCAGCCAGCCCCAGATCCCAAATTGGGAGGGTGTTAAAAGGGGGTGGGAAAAGGGGTGGGGGGAAAATATCTCTTTTTTGTTATAACCTTTTTTTTTTTTTTTTTCCTCTTTCCTGTACCTGATTTGTGTTCCCTTCTCCCTTTTTTCCTGTATTTCTGGGGGAAAAAATAATATAATTCAAATACAGAATGTGTTGCATCCTGGTATTGCCTGGCTTCTTCTGGCATCGGTGGGGCTGCGTGACACTGGGGAGCCCCCACTCAGGCACCGACCCTATGGGGGGGGGGGGCGCCTATGGGGAGGTAACGTAGCCATGAGCTAAAAATGAGCTCAAAAGAAATATTATTTCACAGAATGGTTGAGGTTGGATGGCACCTCTGGAGGTCATCCGGTCCAGCGGCCAGCTGGAGCCGGTGGCCCGCGATCATGCCCAGATGGCTTTTGAGTATCTCCAGGGTTGGAGGCTCCACAACCTCTCTGGGCAGCCTGAGCTGGCGCTCGGTCGCTCTCACCCTTCACAAGGCGTTTCCTGATGATCAGAGGGAACCTCCTGTGTGTGTTCGGGCCTGTTGCCTCTGGTCCTGGCACTGGGTACCACTGAGAAGAGCTTGGCTCCATCTCCACGCTCACGGCAGCGGGGTTGGAGTAGATGGCCTTTAGAGGTCCCTTCCAACCCACCCCAATCCACGATCTGTACGGCCTCCGCGTGAGGTTCAGCAGACCACATCTCCCCACGGCTCCTCTGTCAGTTGGAGGAGGCGGTTGTCAACGAGGTTCGCCAGGAACCTGCTGGATTGGAGTCATAGAATCATTTCGGTGGGAGAAGACCCTTAAGATCTTCGAGTCCAACTGTAAACTTAACTCTGCCAACTCCACCACTAACCCATGTCCCTAAGCACCATGTCCACATGTCCTTTGAATACCTCCAGGGCTGGTGACTCGGCCACTTCCCTGAGCAGCCTGTTCCAATGCTTGGCAGCCCTTTCCATGAGGGAAGTTTTCCTAATATCCAATCTAAACCTCCCCTGGTGCAGCTTGAGGCTGTTTCCTCTTGTCCTATCCCTTGTTACTTGGGAAAAGAGACTGACCTCCACCTCTCTACAACCTCCTTTCACGTGGTTGCAGAGGGCGGTAAGGTCTCCCCTGAGCCTCCTTTTCTCCAGGTTAAACAACCCCAGCTCCCTCAGCCACTCCTCATATGACCTTCACCAGCTCCCTTGCTCTGCTTCGGGCACTCGTGGTCAGGCTGGTTGAGGTCCTCCATGAGCACCAGGGCCTGTGGATGTGAGGGTGCTCCTCTGTCTGTAGAGGGCCTCAGCTGCTTGTTCCTCCTGGCCTGTAGCAGACAACAACTACAACGTCACCGTTGCCTGTTCTCGCGTCCGTCCTAACCCGGGAGGTCTCCGTTGGTTCCTCATCCATCTCCGTGGAAACGTCCCACGCGCTCCATAAAGGGGCAACTTTTCTGGTCCTTCCTAAGGAGTGTGTGTGCCTCCACTGCAACGCCCCAGTCACGGGAACCGTCCCGCCACGTATTCGCGATCCCCACAAGATCACTGGGGACAGGTCTCCGACTCATCACACTTATTCCCCATGCTGCCCCCCGTTTATAGGCAGAGAAGTGTGTCCTACACTCAGCATCTCCATTATCAGCTACAAACAACAGGCTCAGGGCGTTTTCTTGTATGGTGCTTTTCACGTTTGCCAATGTTCCTAATGCAACTTCATTATGGTTTAAAAAAAAACAAACCCAAACCCCCAAAACCAAATAAATCAGACCATAGATCTTGGTCATGTCACACTGTCAAGAGTATTTTGATCTGTCCGAGATGTGAGCAGTCACAGAGAAAATACACTTTTTTTTTTTTTTTTTTCCAAACAAATTTTATTTTTTTTTGTAACTGGAAGGGGAGATAATAAATTTTGGTGATAGATAAAATTCAGCTTTTGGGAGACATATTGTCTACCTAAAAAAATAAAAGTTACTAGTTTGCAGACATAAGCAACTGCTCTACATTCATGACTGTAGTTCAAACTGTCATGAAACTTCTTCCTACAGCACCAGGCTCCACCTCAGTTTCTGTTTATACTTTCACTGTGTCCTGGGTGGGGCTGGACTCGAGTTCCTGTTGGTTTTAGCAGCGGGAGGAGCTGCAGCCCCCTGAGACCCCCGGGGCTGCCCAGGGCCCAGTGCCCTCACCTGTGTGCGGGGGCGGGGGGAGCACAGCTGGAGGGCTGGGCCCCGATTGGCCGATAGCCCATGTCATGTGACATCATGCTCACCATATAAAGGCAGGAGCGGGGCAGGAGGGGCTCTCACTTCCGGGGGTGTGGCTGTGGGGTCTGTGTGTTGGGGATCAGCAGGCGGTCGGCGGGAGGTGAGCGGCTGTGTGGTACGTTACCCGTTGGTACTGCTGTCAGCGTGTTGTTCTGTCACTGTTATTAAACTGTTTTTATCTCAACCCCCGAGTCTCCCTTTGCCCCCCGATTCCCTCCCCACTCCCAAGTGGGGGGAGGGTGGGTGAGCGGCTGCGGGGCGTTTAGCTGCTGAGTAGGCTCAAACCACAACACGCTAGCAACAAAGGAGATTATTATTTTTAACTCTTACACACAGTAATAACATTCATGTTCCATTCACGTCGGGGCCTTGTGAGACCTTGAGACGCATCTGCGCCGCTTCTGAGGTCTCCAGCAGCGGCTGCTCTTTCCAGCTTCGTGACAAGTCAGTCCCGTGTTTACAGGGGGAGCTGTAAAATTTCTTTGTCCTTTGATCCAGCGTCAATTTAGCTGGGAACATGGTCATGATAGTGACTATTGTGGCTGTAACTAACAAAGAAACAGAAATAACACCAAGATTCAGTTTCAGACCATGGTCCTTCTCTCTGCAGTGTGTCACACCTGGCCCCAAAAGTGCTATTTTGGCCTATTTTTAAATATGCAGGTGGATGAAGGTCTGTCCAGGTATCAGCAGATGGAGTTTATGCCATGTCTACAATATCTTGGATCTCCTATGGGTACGTTGAAAATGAATTTTAAACACGTTTTCTGCTTTTCCAGGGGAATGCAATAGTTCAGTTTAAAATATTTCAAGACTCGGCTAGCAAACAAAGTCAAAATTTCTTGTTGTAAATTGTTACATAGTGAAAACAACTGATTTTTGAGACCAGGCTCACTGTGGGACAAACCTTCTTCAAGGCTGCCTGCTACGGGACCCATTGGCTGGGCTTCTGCCAAGCCCAGTGGGCTCCCATTTACTCAAGTGGCAAATAAAGAAAAAAAAAAAAAAAAAGGCGAAAAGGGATCGCCTAAAGGATGTCAGCGGGATACTTTATTAATTCAGCAAGTAGGAAGATGTGATGGCTTCTGCTTGAAGGTCAACACGCTCTTAGTACAAGGAGGAGTCCTGGTCTCCAACTCCTGCGTCAGGAGACTCTGAACTTTCTTTATTTTTAGCGTAAAAATAGAAAAAATAACCCCAAAAGCACCTGCCCTGCCCTCCAGGTGAGCCCTACGGGTGGAGGTGCAGGAAAATTTTTCTTTTCCTTTTTCTGTTTTTTGGTGGTTTCTGAATGAGTCTTTTCAGTATGGAGTGAGTTTTGTAATGTGATTTTTAAAATTTAAGTTTTTTTTTTTTTTTTTTCTTCTTTTTCCCCTCTGAATGCCTAGGGTAGGTGTTTTGTCATTTTGGTGAGAGAGGTAGATTTTAGTGGTGGGCACATCATCCTTAGTGGCTGATTTTTGTTTGAGGTTGGAGTTTGATCCTGGGAGGTCACAGGAACCTTTGCTGAATTGGAACCAGTGTTCTTACTTTCATGGAT